TTTTATCTGCTTCATTGAGAGTGACAGAACGTAGGGATTGCCCACACCTGTCCATGAAATAGCCTTGGAGTCAATTGTCCAATTACTTTTGGTCACCTTAAAAACAAGGCGGCACATGTTAAGGAGCTGAAACTCCTAAACCCTTCATCCAATTTTAATGTGGATACCCTCAAATGAAAGCTGGATGTCTGGACTTTATGTTCCTGTACATTATATCTATAACTTGAATATGTTTCAGTAAACAAGTAAAAAGACTATTTGTGTCAGTGTCCAAATATATGTGGACCTAACTGTAATCCTTGGCTGTGAAATCTACAACTGATTAGCTTTTCCAGTCAATTCAGTTCAAGATGGCCGCCACATGTACTCAGTTATAGCAAACACAAAAATGACAAGTCAACCACGACACTCCAAGCACCAACAGATCCTGTTTAAAACATTGGATGTAAGGTGGTGGGTCTTGTTAATAAAGTACTGCTTGAGTATCGAGATATTGATTTTCTGTTTTCTTATGTTTTTACAGAGATCTCCTAATATTATTGAAATATTTTTCAAAATATTACTTTAATTTTAAATCCCACATTGAGAGACGTTATTCCTAAACTGTTTTAAATAATTGTTCTCACAATCTTAGTGTTCGCAAACATCTTTATTTCTTTAAGCCACACTTGGTTAAGATACTTTTTTTACACATATCCAAATATCTTGCTGACATTTTTACATTTGCTGTTCCAGCAAGTCTTTTATTCATAACTCAACATTAATATACTTCACCAACCAATTTTAAAGTGGGGTGGGGTTGGAGTATTATGCAAAACTGACTTTTTTGAGTTTGTTGCTTTGACTCATTCTTGCATGCCTGAGAACTCCTTGAATCTCCTGTGGTAGTCATGTGGAGCTGCCGATAACACTTGCTGGTACAAAGCTCCTCCTATTTACACAAGCTCCTCCCTGTCCCACAGAGCACACCTCCCCTGAAGCATTGTTGTGAAGACGTGCTGCACTGTAAAATTATCATTACTTAAAAAAAGCTTGTAAACCGATTGCACTTAAAAAAYGAGTACACTGAACTAGGTATTTTAAGTTGTACTAACTAGTGCTTTCTTTGTAGAGTACACTTATATATGAGTTAATGCAAATAAGAAAATCAAGTACCACTTGAAGTAGAACTTCATAATTTACTTTAGGTGTACTTGACTTAGTAAAGATTACTCAAAATAATTATTTTAATCTACTTAATCATTGCATGTGAACTTGACTTTATTTGGTCCATTTAACACATTCTGAAGTTGAGCTCTGTCAGTATTTCTAAGACATACTTTCTTTTGCAACTCTGCTGCTGCTAGGCTACACAGAGATGTGACGTTCGCGAATGATCTGAATCTTTGGAACGGCTCTTTACAACAAATGACAGGAGCCGAGTCGTGGGCAGTAACGAGCCATTTGTAGTTTTATTTCTTATTCCTCATATAATCTTTACTTTTTTTCATACTTAAATTGCTCCCACTTTGCTTTTGCATGAAAAACAGGCAGAGCAGTGGCGTACAGAAGCTCACGGGGGAAGGGGGAGAGGGGTTTCCGGTACATTGTGGTACAGAATTGAACTATATGCCTGGAAAATACATATTTTCCCCCTTTTAATAAATTAAACCACTTCAATCACTTGCATACATTTGATTTTGTTTGTAATCATCTTGAATATCATATCCAGTTAGTTTGGGAAACAAGATTTTGTACAATTTCTAAAGATTATAAACCCGAGGTGATAATTCAGTCATTTCCAAACAGCAGCTATATAAAGTATGAACACATGATAGCAGTGTGGTGGCTGCTGCACATGTAAAATAACTCACTAACAGAGCTCCTGCAGCAGCTGTGGTGGCAGCAAACACTCAGTCACGTCTGACTGAGCTTGTGGCCTTGTTAGCAGTTATAACTAGTGTAAACAAACAGCAGCAGTGTATTTTAAGGTCATCACAAGCATCAACTGAAACCTCCCAGTCAGCACAAAGCAGAGACTCTGATGTGGCTACGCACTCCCTTTATTTAAATCTGCTGACATGTGAAAAAGCAACATTAGCTAATGCTCTACTTAAAGACCATAATTGCTCTTTCCCCTACTGTTAATGAATGCTAATTAGAAATCTGGAGCAGTTTGTGGCATGTGTGTGCGCTGGCTGCTCCTCTAATGTGCCGTATTGTTCCTCTCCTCGCTCCAGCTCAGCACTATTGCTGCTGTGCCAGCTATTAAAGTCAGATAAGCTATCCATCTTTAGCATTGCCAGCCAAAAAGCCACTAATGGGTTAGCCACAAAATTGTTAATTTCCACGGCTTCCTTTCCCTGTTTGACTGTTGGCTCTCAGTGTCCAACAGAGGCAAATATTTCACTTTGGCTCTAGCGCTGCACAGAAGCCTTAAAAAAACAACAACACACATTTATCAACCTCGTCGTGACAAAACCCTCCATCAGGGAAACAAAGCTGCTTTATTTCTTGGTGCCATCTTATATTTTCACTTTAACACGACACTTCATCTTAGACCCTGTTATAAAAGCCTCACACGGCTTTAAAGCTTCCCCCTGCCTTCTAAATTCATCTGTGACTTTTAAAACAGGCGTGCGTTTTAGGAATCCACTTTGTGGGCTTTAATAATGTGATTTAATCCACAAAACAACTTCGCTGTAATAAGGGTAATCGCAGCCACGATTTTTAACRAGGATTAGGAGACATCTTAGCCGCCATATCGTTCCAGATTGCTGAAAATTTTACAACTGGGTTTAAGATCTGGCAGTTATCCATTAACCAGTTACATGGGCCTCTGAAGGTTTGGAGAGAAAATTAAATGCATGTCCGCACTTGTGCAGTCGGAATAACACACTGAATATACTGTGGTTGCTGGAACACTTAATGTAAAAGCAATTAGCAAACTTCTAAAAACCGTTTTGATTTATTACGTTGTGTGCCTCATCTGTTTTATTTTCCTGCTGATTTCTCAAATGTGTATAATAACTTACAGTACCGGGATAGCTATGTTATAGTTGTGAGGCAGGGTGAACCCAAATGCAGGCAGGCAGGCAGGCTAGAAAGTTTTAACAAAAATTTATTAAATAAAAAGCCAATGTGGTGGCAAAAAACAGAGAACTAAACAGAAATCAGGGACAAGAAAGCTAGGGTAGAACATGAATCAGACTGGAGCATACAAACAAACCAACAATGATCAGACCAAGACACAGTGACAAGACTGGGCTTAAATACACAGACAACAATTACTAACAACAAACACCTGAGGGAGACACATGAGGATCAGGTGTGAGTAGGTGGGGCTGGAGCAAGGGCAAGACAGGAGGAAGGAAACATGAACATGACAGAAACAAAACATAAAAACACTTAACACAGACAGAAATCATAACAAGCTATGAATGTTAGAGAGGCTTTAAAGTTGACAAATCTGGAACGAGATTCATAAAAGTACACAGATGAACTCAATATAATGCCACTTTCTGTGTCTTAGTATTTGAGCTGCTCTGTCACAGTCGGGGTGTATTTTATAACGGTCTAGCCTGAGAAGGAGGAAACCCAGGAAGTGATTGGTTTATAAAGGGTTTAAGAGTTATAGTTCTGTGGCTTGTGCAGCCGTGCTCTGTTCTGTGGCCGTGCGATACGGGGAAAGTAAACTTTATGATTTCATGGCTGTTCATCATGCTTTGTTTGACGTGTGCAGAAGTGAAGTTTACCATTTTCCCTTGACAGTTTTTTTTCTCACAAAATCTAAGCARTCTAGAGTCACTTATAATTGCTTAAAAGTGAAGCGAGTCACTTAATTCTTAAAATCTTTTTTTCCACTAAATGTATAAGCTAATGTAGTAACTTTTTTCTGTTAGAAAATGATTGTTATAGTTGAGCTTAAACCATAGACTTGAATGTAGAACACTAGACTGAGCCCCGCCCATACCGTCTGGTAGCGTCTGTGACAGCGTGGAGGGGCAATGGCATCCAAAAAGGGCAACGAATCACAGCCTCCATAGAAAATAATAGAGAAACAGCAAGCTGAACCGGATCATTTTCACAGATTATCGGTCATGTTTTTACAATAAATTAATAATTATGTTAATTTCATTCAACAATCATGTAAAAC